GAAAAGTAAACATTTCAAGAATTATAAAACAGTTATTTAGAAGAACAGACCCCGTAGGCTCCTCCTATTTGCTAGTTATTTACCTTCAAAATAAAGAGATACCACGAATGAGATATTTTCACTAGTGAAAATAACAACTTTACGGAATGGAGAAATATATATGTACCAATTTCATAGATAAATTATATGAAAAAAGTAGATCTCTTTAATCAACTGGATGTGGATGTCAAAAACAATAAAACGGGCATCGCATTCAACACTTTTTTTCATCGTACCTTGTCGGTTACTTCATTCTCCTTCACCCTCTTGAAACAAAAATTCTTATAAATGACTATCCTTGACTATAAAAGCAACACAAGAAAATATAGTCAATGTAATGTAGTGTGCGGTCTTTGCTAACATCTCCCTCTGCGTAAAGAACCTTGACAAGATAGACAACCGTCCAAGACCGAAATTCTTTTGCCCTTCAGGTAAATATAGGTCTTCACATCTCTCCGAACGAATTCTATGATTGCGCTGCGTCGTTCTTACAAGACAAATTGACACTTTTTGTCTCTTGTTTTCTTCTTTTTTTAACAAGCCTATTGGATAACACCTTCCGAATGTTGAAAGCTGACCGCGATCAAAATGACTTTTCGTAGTTGGAGAGTGACTATACCAGCTCTATGATCCAAGGACATCAGTGGAAACCAATGACKTCTAGAATTGTCCATTTGTACCGCAGCTAACTTCGAGTTTAATAGCAACAGCGCATCGCGATCTTTCAAATGTACTTACACGAATTTTATRACTTTTATTTCACATTTTTATTGTGTACGTACATACAAACTGTATTATTTGTATCGTTATTTATGTTTTAACCTTTACAATGTACTGARATGCCCAGGGTCTAAAGAAACTGTGAGGTTTCCTTGTTCAACTCCTAGTCCTTWATGTTTCCAATGTACATATTTACACAAGCAAAATAACATATAACCTGCATTATATCTTACAATTTATCAATGTAAAAAAATAAAAGCATCGTTTTTGCTTTGTCTACTTTAATACTAAAAATTCAATGAATGAAATATTTCTGTCTTTCAAATGACGAACAATGTTTTCAAAAAATATCATTAAAAATGAGATCGATGACGTGTACAAAACTTTTTTTTCCGTGTTTCACGGGTGACAACCTTATTTCTTTTTATGAAAAAAAATTCTGACCCTTTTACTTCTATGTACGAATTCTATGATTTCTTGCAGCAAATTATGCATGTTTTGTGAAAGGAGTATACGATGGATGGTTGTCATCACATATACGTTGGTCAATAGCAAGTGCTCTTTCCATGCATTTCTTTGCTTCCTCGTACTGTCTGAGATCTT